TATATATATATATATATATATATATATATATATATAGCTAAACGTATGTACAACAAATTATCTACACTATAAAGATCACAGGCATATCATAAACACTATAGTTCAATTTCAGTTAACAAGCCGAACTATTTTTCTCTCTTACTATCGCCAAACTATCCGAGCATAGTTCACTTACTTTATAGTCGAGTTACCACGTCTGTATCTATACTTCTAAAATCATCTGCTTCTTTTTTCTCTCTTTGTATTTCCGAGAATCGTCTGTCTATTTGTCAAAGTCTACTGAGGCTAGTTCTATTACTTTAGAACTCTCTTTGATGAAATGAACTATTCTTCTTATGTCTTTCAACACCGTTAGTCTCACTCTAATATATCAACCGTTAGGCCTTCCACTTCTACGACGATTAACTTTGCGTTTCACTTTTCTTTGGCTGAATTCCTTCTCGTAACTTTACTTTACTTCTCGTCTGCTCTGTCTTCGTCCGTCTGTTTACTTTTCCCGCTCATCTCATCCCATTTATATGTTTATTAATTAATCGTCTGCTCGATATATCATCGACATCAGTAAATTTCACACGACGTTTGATAATCTCGACATCAATGAGTTACAAACACAACGTACGACTCTTACCGAGTGACGTAACTAAACTTTTCATAATATTTACTTTAAAATAATTGCTTCTAACTCTCTTGTTATGAACAAAACTAAACAATCATAAAATATTCTCACAAAATAAATTAATAATATCTACACTGAACAGTCTTTTATATCATGACAAAAACCTAAACTTACTTGATGCGACAACTATAGTAACAGCACATATGATGTGAATTTTTTTACTTTCGTTGATCCAGCAACGAATTAAGGAGCATGAATGCTAATGAAAAATAGAAATGATAACAGTTAAAAACGTAGAAGGAAAAAATAGACATCTTGAAATACAAAATACTTTAATGCGTCAGTCGGAAAAACTTGAATTTTCTTGATTTGTTAAAAATAAGACTAGAAATGTGATTGGACAACTTAAATCGCTTTGAAGTCTTAAAGAAAAGATAGAAATTGGGTGGAAAACTTAAATCGTCTCTCAGATTCATAAAGTAAGGTTAGAAATTAGGTGGAAAACATGAATCACGTGAAATTTTTAAAGTGGGGCAAGAAATTAGTTGGAAACCGTGAAGCGTTTTGAATTCCGAAAATTCTTAGTCATTCCAAAATTTTATAACTGGTAAACTCACTCAAAAAACATATAAAAATCTGAATAAAAACCTTGTACGTATGGGTATAAGAATATTCTGTTGAAAGAGCTGCCTGGTCAAGAAAACTGTCAATCAAATTAAAAATAAATACATCCAGCAAATGGTAAAACAGTAATACAGTCTAGTACCAAATGATAAAAATAATAATGCATAAAACTGTTATTAATCATTATAATATGAATTTTACTGATTAATAGCTAACGTTATTTTGCTCTTTTCTTCAATATCTTTACAACGAAGTTTTAAATTCTTGTATTATTATTATTTCATTGAACAGTAGCTCACCTCGCCAGCAAGCGAGAGCAGAAGATAACCCAGTCCTCTGCACATAGGTAGCACCACGACACAACAACTGATGTTCAACATGGATGCTGTGCCTCTTGACAAATACAGTGACGACTGGTACATGGAAAATAATGTATGATAAAACTTTAAGGTGAACTTTTACATGAAAACATGGACATAGAATATAAATAAACGACAAAATATAACTAAAATTCTTAAATGAACATACCGTGTCAGTATGTGTGGCTCACGTCTCATTGCAAGGTTTTAGGATAACACTTTTATTGATGTTATGAAATATTAATCTATTTTCATTTGGAGACCAATAGTTTTACTAAATCAACTGTTTAATTCTAAATAATTTTTTTAAAACTTACCTGAAAACCAACAAGACCATCAAAATTTGTTGTTGTTTTTTTTATTCACAAGGGGGACACAATAACAAATTGTGATACTTTGATTTTTTTAGTGTTACAATGATATACTATATAACAAATCTGATGTACTCATAACGGGTCACATTGAGGGATTATAACAAATTTTGATCATTGGCACTTTTCAGTTTTTTTCCTTTTGATTTAAAAACCATTCGAATTCTGAAATTTAAGTCACTTTAAAATGTATCATGGATGGTCTTCTTTCATCTGACGTTAATGCTGTTTTTGAGAAATTTCCTAGTGATGGATTGTAAATGGTACAATTCAGTATTCAGTTTTAAAATTATATTTTCACTTTCCATTTACATGATTTACGATTCTGTTTATAAATAGCGTATTCGGCTGTACTTGGTAACAAGTCAGCAGAAAGACAATCAGAACAAAAGAAAACTTCTCTAGAGAAATAGACAACAATGAACTAATGATACAACGGTATCATACTACCAACTTTAAACAACCACAGTATGGAGAAAACAATGCTTAAATATATAATATTTACAATGCGAAGTTCTACTGAAGACAAAGCCCAAGATAAAGTCTAATTCGAATGATCTTAGCTTGTAGTAACGCTACGCATGGTTATTTTCATTGCAAGAATAAATCCAAGTTATGCCAATCTACTAAAACATCAATCTCAAGCACTATTTTACAGTTACATTTTTATAAACATTATAGACTTGAATTTGTTTGACCACAAAAAGACAATTAAAGTTGTTACACATGCAATGTTCTTCCTTCTCCTTCTTTTATTTTAATTCTAAGGTATCAAACTTCCTGTGTATTTCTAAACTTACTTTCTATACAAGTCCAATACTGGTTGACACTAACCAGTTTTCCTGCACTGTTATACCTGCTCAGTTGTCTTTACCTGGTTGGAGTTTGGAAGTTGACATTTTTCGCTTTGTTGGTCATTGAAACGAAGTTACAGAGTGGGCGTAATTCATTGGCTCAGATGGGGTAAGTAGGTGAAATGACACGTTACAGTGATACACATGTTTTTGTGTACTATTTCTTCATTTAACTGGTTCATATGGCGTAACTAGGTGAAATGACACATGGTTTTGTGAACTATTCTCATCTTGATTGAGATCGGGAAAATAAGTGAAACGACACATGATTTTGTGTTCTGTTTTCACCCTTTAACTGATTCAGATCTCGTAACTACGTGAAATGGCACATGGTTTTCTGTATGTATTATGTTCGTTCTTTAACTGATTCAGGTTGTGTAACTTGGTCAAATAGCACGTGGTTTTGTATATTATTTTCACCCTTTTACTGATTAAGATCGCGTAACTAAGTGAAACGACACATGGTTTTGTGTACTATATTCGTTCGTTAACTGGCTCAAATGGTGTAACTAAGTGAAACGACACACGGTTTTGTATACTATGGTTAATGTAGTGTTTATGCACTCAGTGTCCAAGAGTGTTTTAATCATGTTAATAAATCACGGTTTAGTTTAATTATAAAGATCGTCGTCTGGGTGCTTATTCCACCTATAACTTCTTCAGTTTGTCTCGCACTTTCGTTATTACTTGCATTCATTTATCATTAACTCACTAATTATCGGCCCGAACGTAGCCTAGTGGCTAGTGTACTGCACTGATGATTTGATCATCTCGGTTTTGAGACAAAATGCTATTTAAACACGCCTCGCACGTTCAGCTGTGGTGCGTTACAAGAGTAGCAGTCAACCCGCTACATGAGCCTAGTGTTGCTGACTATTTTTCTTCCCTCTATATCGCAGGGTCCGGCATGGCCAGGTGGTTAGGGCGCTTGACTCGAATTCTGAGGTTCGTGGGTTCGAATTACCGTCCTATCAAACATGCACCCTCTTTCAGCCGTGGGGGTATTTTAACGTGACTGTCATTCCCACTATTTATTGGTAAAAGAGTAGCTCAAGAGATGTCGGTGGGTGGTGATGACTAGCTGTCTTCCCTCTAGTCTTTCACTGCTAAACTAGGGACGGCTAGCACAGATAGCCCTTTTATAGCTTTGCGCGAAATTCAAAACCAAAACAAACCTACATCTGAGTTAGCCTTTCAGTTCATGATGTATTTAAGGTGTCATTCAGGTGAACAAACAAACTTGCTCATGCGCTAACTAAACCCTGTCGAACTTCCTTCTATCTGTGTGAACGGTCTACAATCAGAGTACAAATCTACCATACACTAACAACAAACGTTGTGATTTCAGACATTGTTTTGTTAATTCACACCCTTCGTCAGAGTCTTAAAATATTAAATAGTAATGTGTTAAAGAGTCATACTGCATACAAAGAAGCTTAATTATAAACATGTATATTTTGATAGTTACTATCTTCCTAAAAAACTATGTTAATAAAATTTTATAATTAGAAAAAATTACTTTAATGAAAGCTAACTTGTTAACAGTTTATTTGAAAGTTTTATTTTCACTTTCCACTTACATAATTTACGATTCTGTTTATAAATACTCACCTTAACACATACACACAGCAGGAGTGTGAACTGCTATTTGGTCTAAATTTACACTTTTGTTTCTTTGTTATAATGCACAAAGCTACTCAGTGATTGACACCTTCAAGGATGTGTATTCTCATCCTATCAATAACAATTTTTAATTGTTATTTGACAAAAGCCTATTTACCTGTATGTTTTTCCCACTTATAATTGGAAAATCATTGGGACTATTTTCGCCAAACCCGACATGTACCCTTAAGGCCCTCGGGGAGTGGCATGGAAGAGGGGGTTCTAAACATATTTCTTTACCTATTGATGCATCAAACTGTTTGTAGATCTATGACTTTGTCGGTTAAAGGGCCATAAGCTGGACGGTGGGAAGATGTATTGCATTCTCTTGCTAATGTTGGCTTTTCTAGTTTACACCTGAATAGCGTTCGCTATTAAATATTAAATGACTCTATACACCCAAAAGAGGCTGAGGTAGGCTAAAAAATAATTTGGAGGGCTGTAATCTACATATCGTGGGCACACATATTGTAGTATTTAGGAAATGAACCAGTTTTAACAGTAAGCACTTTTAGTTGGGTATGGGAGTCACAGGGGAGGCTAAGGCACATTTAGGGATAGTTTGAGCCCCAGAAATTTCCTCTTACCACCGCCCTTGCTCCTACATATACAGAACATTATATATATATATATATTTGCTTCGTTTTGCTGTCTGTGTTATCAACTAAGTAACTCCCTGCTATATTTTATTGAACCTTATTTCTAGTTTGCTTTGTTTTGCTACCATCTGTTCTCTACTTATTAAATAACTCCCTGTTGTATCTTAATGAATTTTATTTTTAGTTTACACCTACCTGCTATCTTTCGTGCTCTACTGATTAAGTAATTTCCTAACCTACATTTTACTGAATCTTATTTCAAATTTATACCTCCCTGCTATCCTGCGCCCCCTACAAACTTCTTATCGAGAAAATTCTTATTCAGTTCTTCTATAATATTTAATGTTTTCTTGAATTTCTTTAATATAAATTATACTTTGGAAACCTAAGTTCTTCTTGCGCCATAAAGACATATCACGAGTGTGGTTAGTAAATATTAGTACAATAAGGATTTACATATGAATTTCTATAGTTTTTCCACAACAACACATTGTTACGAATGTGCTGTTAATTAACAAATATTAGTACGACAAGGATTCACATATGAACTTCTATAGTTTTTCCACAACAACACATTGTTACGAATGTGCTGTTAATTAACAAATATTAGTACGACAAGGATTCACATATGAATTTCTATAGTTTTCCACAACCATCCATTGACAAATATCAGTACAATAAGGGTTCACACATGAACTTCTATAGTTTTTCCACAACCATCCATTGTTAAGAGTGTGATATTAATTAATAAATATCAGTACAATAAGGATTCACATATGAATTTCTATAGTTTTCCACAACCATCCATTGACAAATATTAGTACAACAAGGGTTTTACTTATCAAGTATTAGGTCGTCAAGAAATTATTGTCGCTATTTTTAGATGAAAAAAACCCGAACAACTTATATATCAAAACAAAGCATTTACTAAATGAAATGGGTTCCATCCTTATCGAAGATGCATTTCGATCTTAAAATCAGGTTGTTAATGCCCTGATTAAAAAAAAATCACTTGGCTTCGAAGCAAAAAACATGTCGATGTCCTCTTTAACACCTTCTACATTTGCATACGTTTTCCTATTAAGATGGTGTTGCAGCGAACGAAAAAGATGATAACCTGATGGTGCCATATCTGGAGAATATGGTGGGTGGGGGAGAACTTCCCAACCCAATTCCATAATCTTGTGTTTCGTCAAACGTGTCACATGTGGACGTCCATTGTCGTGGAGAAGAAGAACACCTTTCCGATTAACAAGTGAGGGGCGTTTCTGATGAAGGGCTTGATTTAAAACGTTCCAGTTGCTGACTATAGATCTCTGCATTGGCATTTCGCTGTGAATTGAGGAGTTCGAAATGAATTACTCCTTTGATGTCCCACCAAATACAAAGCATCACTTTCTGCGGATGGAGTCCAGGTTTTGGGGTCGGAAGTGGTTTTTGTCTAGGACTGAGCCATTGTTTTGGCTGTTTAATATTCGCAGAGAATCCATTTTTCATCACCGGTGACAATTCTGTCCAAAAATGGTTCACACGTATTACGTGCCAGAACGTATTACGTATTACGAACAAACGTCCACAAGTTGGAAACGATGATCATCGGAGAGTTCGTGAGGCACCCAAACACTATTTTTATGGAGTTTTCCCATATTCCTTAGATTTTTACGTGTTGTTTCATGAGAGACATGCAATTTCAGGGCCTTTTCACGAATGTGTTGCCTTGGGTTAGATTCAACAAGCGTCTTCAGAGCATCAATATCAATTCCAACATGTCGGCCCCTGCCATCACAGTTTTTAAGGCTAAAGTCACCTGAACGAAATTTGCTGAACCACTGTTGACACTTACGAATGTTCAAAACATTTCCATAAACTTCTTTGATATTCTTTATGGCTACAGAGGCGTTATTTCCCTTCTTGTATTCAAACAGCATTCCATGCCGAATGTGTGTCTCGTCGTGTGCCATCACTATAAGGGATTAGAGTTTACTAAACTTTACACATTATATAGGCTATACTAATGTGACGTTTAGGTGGTTCGTTTAACTATTATACGTGATGTACGTGGTTAATGAAAGTGTTCCAAAACGCGACATCAATTTCTTGACGACCTAATACCATAACTTTTCACAAATACCTATTCTCAAACACTAATTTTTCTGCAACGAATTTGTCTAAAAAAACTGGCATTCCACAGAAAACTGACTTTGCTATAACTTTTTACAACGTCCTAAAATGATTTTTTTTTCATAATTGGTAACTTCCATTAGCTAGACAACTTCATCCATTAATGTTCCACAGTTATTTAACTTATTATCTAATCTCAACTACTTGTCCTTAAATATCAACTTTCCAATTATACAACCTCAAGTTTTCATTCCAACAGCTATCTAGCCTCACGTACTAAATTTCCACAACCATCAAGCCTCACGTTCTGAGTTTCCTCAACCATCAAGCCTCACGTTCTGAGTTTCCTCAACCATCAAGCCTCACGTTCTGAGTTTCCTCATCCATCAAACCTCACGTTCTGAGTTTCCACAACCATCAAACCTCGCATTCTGAGTTTCCACAACTATCCAGTCTCAAGTTCTGACTTCGATAATTTTCTGGCAGTAAGTAATGATTTTTCACATCTATCAGTTGTTGCATCAAAGATTGGAATTAAATTGTTTGGTTTGTTTTCAATTTCACATGAAGCTACACGAGGGCTATCAGCGCTAGGCGTCCCAAATTTAGCAGTGAAAGACTGGAAGGCAGTTATTCATCACCACCAACTTTTGGGATAGATACTCTATTACCAACGAATAGTGAGATTGACTATTACGTTAAAACACCTCAAGGGTGAAAGGACAAGAATATTTGGTGGGATGGAGATTCAAACCCGCGACCCGCAGATTTCTATTCGAGCTCCCTAACCACTTAGCCATGCCAGACCATTTGAAAGAAAGTAATGACACAAACAGTTTGTGTAATCTCTAATTTCAGTCCAGTATTATTCTAGTGTTGGAATGGTGTTCGAAACGAACTGTTAGACGTAACTCCCGAGTTATCTCCAGATAATCTCGGTGAAACCATTCTGCTATGTTACAAATCAACAATACGTCTAATATAATGACACGATAACATACAGAAATTTTAAACTTACCCCCAACATTTCCCGCAAATAATAATACTTAGGATCATATTTATAGTGAAAGTAAGTAGTCCAGAAAACGACAGCCATCAGTAACATCCAGAGTATCTGTAGGAATGGGGAAAAAAAAATCCATTAATAATCTCTACTGATCTCAGAAATTATAAAATTCATTGTTATTGAAGATAATAAAATGTGTGGCCAGTTGGCCATTCGAAACTTACTACTGACAATCCGAATGGCCAACTTTAAAAGTTTAATACTGACAGTCCAAATGGTCAACTGGTATTAAATTACCAGTTGAACTTTCAAAAGGCCAATATCCAACTTGTACACAACTTTTGTTCCCTATTATTCAGCAAGAGCTTTGGACGGGTGAAATAAGAACTCGTTTGTAACAAAGGATAGGAAATTGTGCTTTTATATATATTTTAAACATAATATACATTAAAAGTGCAATAAAAAGACATAAAGGTACCAATAATGAAAAGAAAGGCATACTGTTTTGAAGAATTCTATCGATATGAAAATATAAGGGGGTACAATCTCCCCCCCCAAATTAGCAAAGTGACATTTTGAATGAGGAAGTGGCTGTTTCAGTTTTGAATCCAACAGTCAAGGTTAACATAGCAAATAACGTTCCCCCAGTCGTCGATGATCCCTCCCCCAATCCAAATGTGTTCCGCCGCCTAGTGTTAAAATATTTCCTACCCTCTGGCATGTCGTCAACATGTCTAAATAAAGCTATTAATTATCCAATGTACACCAAGCACGCTTACTGATGAAATAAACTAAAACATAAAGATAGAGTTTATCGTACAAGAATAACACAAACTTAAACCTTACAAGAATTAATGGAATGGAGTAAAATGCTCATCATGTGTGGATTAATGGTAACCATGCCCAAACTGTGAATCCGAGGGTTCATGGTTCGTCTATCTGTAGAGATCATAATATGTACCTGTACACATGTTCATTGCCTGAATAATATTTATAAAAATGCTTCTACGGTTTAATGAACGAACATCTCTCACGCAACCACGCTTCAGTTGGAAGGAAACTTGTGCATCATTTTTATGCGAAAAAAGCACGCAATACTTTTTTTTTGTCAAATACATCACACCAGCAGGTCAGTACCACCAGAAAATTAATAAAGCAACAATTAAATTCCATACAAAGATTTAGAAAATTAAGAAAGCAACAATTAGAATCCACACAAAGATTGTGCACCAGTCTTTACTGTTTTGGTTTTAATTCTTCTACGCGATTTGACGAAAAATGAATCGTTCGTTCATCTTTCACTTTTTTTTTTACAGGCATCGGGCGTGGCCTGGTAGTTAGTGTGCCGAACTCTGGACTCGAAGATCCAGGGTACGCGTCCCATTGCTCCAAAATCGCGCGCCATACTTTAGGGCCGTGAGTGCGTTATAAGAATCACATTCAAATCTCACTATTCGACTAGAATTTCTGGTGGGTGCTTTTGACTAGATGCCTTCCTTCTAGTCTATCAATTAAAAATTAGGGACGGCTAGCGCAGATACTCCTTAAGTATGGAGGCCTGGTCTGGCCAGGTGATTAGAGCGCTCGACTCGCGGGTTCGAATCCCTATCCCACTAAACATGCTCGCCCTCTCAGTTGTGGAGGCGTTTTAATGTGACGGTCAATCCCACTATTTGTTGGTAAAAGAGTAGCCCAAGATTCGGCAGTGGGTGATGATGGCTAGTTGCTTTCCCTCTAGTATTTTAGTGCCAAATTAGGGATGGCTAGTGCAGATAGCCTTCATTTAGCTTTGTGCGAAACTCAAAACAAACTTGAAGTAGTTTTTTGGAAATATCAAAACAAACAGAGAAACATTATTTTTAATGAAGGATTTTACAATATCGGAACACTTTTTTTTCTCAAAAACTCCTTTGATTTTAAATCTTAGCTTTCATGTGTTCTAAAAGTCCAAAATCGAACTCTCTAATGTTCACATTAATGTATTCATATCAGACTTTGGCCTGCTGCATGGAAGGAACCCAGTTCTTCACTGACAAAAAGCCTTGAATCTCAACTATGATCTGCAATTAATTTCAAATTTCAACTGCAGTAGCCTATGTTAGTCTTAGCTCACATCTATATGACTGTAGTGCAGTTAAAGTTAGACTCTACCCCTATAAAAGCTTCAACTCACTCTGTGAGATCTGACTCGAGAAGCATGTTTTACATTTTTGTTTCTCATTAAAGAAAAGTGTAGTTCTGACTGTTCTGTTATGTTAATATTTATTATTCTGTAGCTACATTTGTATGTTATATTGAGGATCAGTCGCATTTTATAATAATTATGTTCTCGGTGTAGTATGCAAGCATACTAGGTGTCTTTTTTATATTTTTTAAAAAGTAGTTCATATGTAGTTTTTTTACAGAAGAACGCCAGTCTTGGAATGTGGCTAAATTCATTTTGCTCTTGATACCTATTGCCATGGGTAATTCCTCTTTGATGTCACATGAACTTTCTCTTGGGAAAAATCGCTAGAAAGTAGGGAACAGTGCGTAATGATGGGCAGAGAATTTTATAATTGTGAGTCAGGCGACACTTTGTGGAAACTTACCATTATTATTTTTCGAATTGAATGACCAATAGTGACGCGTGTAGCAGATGCGCATAGAGAGCGCAAAATGCTGCTCACTTTGCATGCTGGTCAAAGAATAATGCACTATTGCCTGGTGTCTTAATTTTCACTGTAACCAGGACGACGAGGTAATCTTAGGCAATACATTTTGACGAACTTCCCAATAGACGTGGACGTCGCTTTCAAAAGCATGCGTAATTGACCAAACGTACAAAAATTCATTGAAGTTGCATCAGGAGACTTGACACATGTGATCGAAGAACATTGCTGCGATTCCAATTTTTCCTGCCACCGATTGTTAATTTTGAGATGTGGCTGAAAACTTGTGAACCTATAGGTTTTGAGCATTCATTAACTTAAAGTCCTTGTTTATTTTTTTTGTTAACGATACCAAGAGATATGCTCAGCTTTACTACAATGCTTTTTAGGGTTTGGGGGTTCCTTTTGTAAACACAACCATTATTTCAAAAATTAGTCCCGATTGTGAAGGTTTGGTTTCGGAACTTGTTACTGTCCTAAACACTCTTCTATGAGGGTTTTTACGCTATCACATAGAACATTGAACACGGATTTTTCGATAGGATGCGCTTTTGGCTCTATATAATTAATTAATCTCCCTGCACAAATAATATCTTTTTAACACCGCCTGTATCTGTAAACTGGGTAAGATTATACTGGCCAGAAAAATGACCCATTGC